ATGACCGTACTACTATACGTATATTTGTCCTTTTAGGCTTTGTGTTTCACCGAGTCTGGAACCGCTATTATACTGATTCCCCAGCTTAAGCATTGCCCCTGCTTTCTGTGCCCAACACATTCATCCCTCAGATTTTATAGACGTATTACATTTGAAATATTAAGTGGACTATCTCCTTCTCAACAACACCGGCATGATGCTACCATCAACATTTTGTGCCTGTTTTTACGAAGAGCGAGGCTTGAGGTTCGATGAATATATAATAAAGTTCTTTTGACATCAGCCTTCTTATGTTTTTATAGATATGCTTGTTGCTTTGAGTTGACAAATTAAGAGAACAATGAAATAGCACAACCGTGTTATCATAGCGTATCGCCGACGTCCGTCATATGTATCGAATTCCTAAATATACCATATGTTTAAGCGTATATTGTACCTGAATGGCTTTAACGCCGTATGATCCTGTTGATCAGCAGCAGGTGCTTTGCACCAGATAATCATTTAAAACAACCCATCCTGGTACTCTTTGCTACCTCGTTGCTCGTATAGAGGCGGCCAACGTAACACTCCCTTGCCTTGTTTTGTAGCCGGTACTATGGCGGTTAGCTGCTAATGGATTCAAAATGTTTAAATGGCGCGTACATTCAAAAAATGATTAAAGACGGAGCGAAACCCGAGACTGTGCAAGAAGCAGCTAGGGCCACTGCGGATAGACACTTTTCCGCTAAAAAGGCATCTAGCGAATTTAGGATAAGCGAAATTACGTTACAACGTCAACCTGAGTCTGTGAAAGCTGCTGGCGCTTCAAACAAGATTGCTTCAACAGACGAACATGCGCTTCATGCGTTTGATGTATATTGAGAGGCCGCATTAGCAGTACGTTTGGCCTGACGCGCAAACATCATCCAACCTTGCACTACACTCAAAGCGGGAGCAATCGCGGACAAGTACTAAACGACTCGGCAAACAGTTACCATTGCGACTACAATGCAGGACAAAGCTTGACGATGGCTTTTTAAGCACGGCATAATTAATTTTCTTTGCAGTATTCCGGCAGAATGTCCTTTGCACGCGCGATGAGCTTAAATTAAGAAGCGGTTAATAGTGTTCAAGGCTCTCAAGGTCTTGGCGGAGTCTTACATTGTTATTTTTCAAACATCTTTAATTCAAACGAGACGTCCCTCCTTACAAGATAATAGCTTATCCAAAGTAATTGCGCCCAAAGAGACAACCTAGTTACTCACGTCAACTGGCAAAAGCGCCGAAAACTTGCTACAAGGATTGCTTTCATATCCGCAAACGGATTTTCTAGGATGCATTGCAAGGAGAGTATGGTAATAGGTGCACTCATTATGAACTCGGTTAATAGATCACAAAAACAGTTGTTCGAAAACTGTCTTAAGTATTTTTTTAAGCTGCCTCCTAGAGAATCGTGCACAGACCCAAGTGCGATTAACGTGGCTTTGGGGAACCACGTGCTCTACACTGTTTATGCAAGCTATAGTCCCTGAAGGTGGAGTTTTTGGGGCCATTAAAATCTCGAATTCATACAACGCAACGAAGGTTGATCCGACAAAACGTGCGAAAAACAATTATTTACAACGGCAAATATCATTTGAGCGTCTCAGAACGCAGATATCTGTCATCTTTCAAACAAGAATATTTATAGAAAAGGTCTTTTTTCTTCGGCGGCGGAGGCTCATAATTAGCCAGGTTCGCAGGCCTTTATTACTCAACACGTTATTTCGGCAAAATAGCCGGTGATCCTCGGAAATGGAGGCTCTATTACGAGCGACACCGTTTATCGATCGCCAATCCATCCCATAATTTTTACAAAACAACTTTAGTACATAACCTCGTTTCTGTATGAATCAACTATGTTATCTAAATAGATTTACTGCTCATTTGTATATGAATACGTGTCTTCTCTACAAAAACGGTTAAAACAATTAGAATATGCTCCATCAATCTAATTGGCTTCTTCGGATAGAACCATTAGTGACTCATACAGATCCTTCGAGATTGGTTATACGGGCCAACGACGTAGATGTCTTTAATAGAATATTTCTCAAAAACGAATGATCTATTGTTCCCCATTTAGCGAAGTAGAAGAGTCCTTGGCCGACACTCTAATATTTACATGAAATGTATACAACTAAAACAGTAAGTCTTTCAATTAACGAAGCAAGCACAAAAACTCTGCTGAACGACGTTGGAACTCGTCGCGTCGACCTCTCCGCGATTCCTGCGACACATCGATGACGCAGTCTACGATGGCCAACCCACCCACCACCCAGGGTGTCTACTCTACACTTAACATCCCAATGGGTCGCATTTGCCTTTGCAAAGAAATTCTAATTGCATGATCTTAATTATAACATCGAGAAGAATTAATCATAGCAGAATGCATAGAAGCAACAGATGCTAGCCCCATTTTACTATACATGCCCTGACATTTTTCCAGAGCAAAGACGTAACAGGGTTACGTTAGTTTCACAACCGTTTACCTTGACTGCTTGAACAGATCTGATAGTGCGTATACAACATTGATAAAGTGGACTATTTGATGTCGTCGTATTGAAATCAGGTGATTCGAAATCGAGGATCTGAAGGATTTTGCTGAGGAATGTAAACGCTCCTTTACTCCGAAGTATCTATGACGACGAACGAAGAAACTGCAATTTTTTGTACTTCAATAACATATACATTTCAACCCAGTACAGTTGTCGATGTCATTTTCAAATTATTAGCAATTTATCGATTAATTTTGCCGCATCAGGAGGGTCTACGAATACAATACCTACGTGACCGAAGGAACCGTTGTTGTCAAATTTAAGGATGCGCTCTCTAAAGGTTTCAGGCATACGCTAAGGTACCTTAGACTGCGTTCCATTGCATTCCACGATTTTAGCACGAAGTCATGATCAAGATCTACGATTTATGTCAGCCGTAAAGGATTTGAAAATTCGCATATTTCTACAGAATGAAGATGACGAGATGAAGTTGCAAAAAGCTATTTGTCTTCTGAACGAATAATGCAGCATTGACAAAATCAATATACCGGTTCCACGGGTAGTTCACCGTAGATGAAACAACGACTTAATTCCTGAACGATTACTGAGCACTTGAGGGGTGAAAAGACAGGAATTTTCAAATTACGTCCAACCGCTCTATGAAATTCCTAGTGCACATTTCGGAACCGGTCAGGCCAACATCCGGTACGTCGTTTGATTCTGACGACTCATATAAGACAGGATGTAAGGATATTCGTCAGGTTCTACGAAACTCGCGTGGCACCTGTATGGGCATGCTTACAAGTTCCGGCTTCCTCTTTTCAATGAAACTTAGTTGTCTCACGACGTGCCCAATATAGATCTGAAGAGAAGAATGAATTAGAATTTAAATGAGGCGTTCCGCTGATTAATATCGCATAATTAGTAAAGCGCAATTGCAAAGAAAGCCTGGTCTTGAAAATTTAGTGAGTGATTTATTTACGATAGCAGAACCACTGACTGTTCACTCATGCGACCTAGCAGCTTTTGGAGTAGGAATTGCATTGTAAGATGCGTTGAACTGTCACAAACAGTTCACAATGATATAACGAGGCCTTTGGTTTCCAGGTTTACGATGGCGATCATTATCTTTTTGTAGCTTAACTCATTCTTTACAAAGGCTATTGGTACGGTATTGCATTGTTATACAAAGTTTTGGACGTTGCAGCTGCGTACTAAGCTACGCTAGCGAATGAGAAACCAATTAGCGTATCTATTGTCCTCTGCTGGCTCCATCTAGGCAGCTAACCATGAGAACAGTCTCAATGGATAATAAGATGTGCTTCGAAAAACGAAGGTGGAGGTGCCCGTACTCTGAAAACAGAACATAGCGAGAACCTGAATCTATAAACAGGTGAAAACGTCCCGTAATATATCAGATTACACTGGTTTAAATCCCCGTACTATTTTGTAACACTGCTCTGCAACATCTAAGATCGTAAATGACTTCTAAAGTGAACTAAACTCTTATCGAAATGGGTTCTTTAAATTTACCTCTTTCTCACAATGGGTTCTCACCGGCCCAAAATGAAACTTGCCTTAACCGCGAAATGTGTCGATAAATTATTTGCCCCAATGGTTTTTAAATGTCGAGATCTCCAGTCAGCTACAGCTGTGCAGCCGAAACAATGAATGATAAAGATTAATGTTCGCGTTCTCTGTCTGCTAGGCAAATGAAGTCGAACCAGTTAGTGCCATCGGCAAACCGTACCTCATCGGATTATATAGAAGTAAGTATCTGTTAATCCTTTCCGTCATTGTCGAGGGGTTCTCGCGCGGTACAGCCAAACCGACAAGCGAAGAGGTTGCCCAACAGCAGTTGTAAGCATATCTGAGTCGTTTCTGAAACGGAAATTCTCTCTTGCCTTTGCTTACGTTAAGAAAAAATAGAAGATCTCACACCTCAGATAATCCAGCCTAGTCTGGCTTAGCGGCGCGCTGGGCTATAAAACTTACTTAGCTTAAACAAGCTAATATCCAAGCTTCTTTAAGAAATAACATATTGGCTCCACTGAGCGTTTTGAGCATTCTAACAGCTTCCCTTTGACGCGTTGATAAAAGCGGTGCTGATCGTTCTGTCATCGCTCCCCTCCGTTATGTCTCCCGCCAAATAAACTTTGATCGCTAAGGCTACCCTGATTCGCTATGGCGTTGCTCTGGGCAATACTTAGTATTCTTCTTGCAGACAGTCGCGGTTGTGTTGAACACATCGTCGTCCATCTTTCGACTCCATATGTTTCATTTATTCGGGTTGTTAACCCGACGTTGCACATTAGGCGTTCCCCAAAAAGCTACCAGCCCTTCCGGGTCGTAAACAGCACGCATATAGTCAGCATTAAGCCTTTCGTCCAAGAATCCAACTACATGCCAAGCACTAATGTTAGGTCCCTTCTTCGCAGTTCTGTTAATAAGCTTTGTTAAGAAATTCGTAATCGGCAACACCGATTATAGAAACAGTGTTAGAATGTTTTAAAGTAACCAGAAGCGTGCGCTACCACGCCTCCCACCAAATCACAACATTAGGTGAGAATCGGAAAAAGGAAAACATTACTAAAAGATTCACTCACATTGCGACATGTCTAATGCTATGATAAACGATAGGGTAGCGCAGTTGTCTTCAATCCAAAAGGAAACCCCTTTGCGCGAAATCGAATTTCTCAAAACGTCAAATAGAACTGCATTGTGCTTCATTACGTCAACGCTCAGTAAAAGAGTCTGCTGTCTCTCTTAGCAGAAGAGGTCACGGATGTCGGAAGTAATAAATTTAGCTTCTATATTGTCATTAATAGGATGTGTAAGTTGTAATGCGTTTTCCTACAAGCCTTAAAGACACACGTGTAACGTTCATGTTAGATACAAAGGGTAGATATGTTCTGGAGTGTACTGTCTGATATAACGTGGCCTAACGATGGTTTCGGATATAGAGCTCGAAGCATTTATTTACGGAGTGCCTGCTCAACAAGCTCCCTACGTCCTACGAATACGAAGGAATGAGCTCAGCCTTTGTTTAGCGGTCTTACGCTTAAGC